AGCTAACAAGCTGTGACAACCTATTGAAAGTACAGAGAAGAGTACTGTCGATCTTACAATTGGAAAGATCCGCAACTTTATGAAGTTCTCTGCGACAAGGTCGTGCGAGCAAACAATTGGAGTGGATTTCGAAGACCGCTGAATAACCCTAACAATCCTTCCGCAAATTTTGGTGTACGAACTGTCTACAGTCGTGGTAGTTTGGCCTGAAAACTGTAAAGAAATTCGCAAAGTTTGGGATCCGTCGAAGCCCTCCAAAGTTTTTCCGTCAGTCAGACTGCGTTCAAGACACGTTGAGTATACCTGAGACAAATCTTTTGTGTGATAGTTGTATATAATGCGTCTCAACTGGGCGTTTCTCGGTTTTGACAATTTGTTTTTGCTAGAAACAATGTCATGTTGGAAGCGCATCTTCCATAGTTGCGTCAATTGAGACTTGATAACGGCGAATAGTGCTAGCGGAAACGGTACCTTTTTGGTTTCTGTAGCAACTGTTGCTCGCAGGAACATTGACCTTTTCTGACAGTGTACGCAGATTGCTGGTAAAGAAATTTTTGGAAAGAAGAGAGAGGTAACTGCTAGTGGTCGGTGATCTGCTTTGTCAGGCTGTAGTGTTTGTAACTCCACACGTGCTCACTTTTCACCCTCCTGCGTCACTCTATCAAGAGTTTTCGCCAATTAGAAAAAAACTTACAAGGAAGGTTGGTCGAAGTGGTCTTTTGAAATTAGGTGTATACTGCCTTGTAGAGCTTGGAACGCTGATCGTAAATTACCTTTGCTATCTACTGCGGACTTCTGGGCGAGGAGTTATGAAGGTTTTTGTGAGTAAAAATCTGAATGCAAATAGGGTAAAATCAATCGTAACCTTTTCCCAATGTTCAAATGAGGCAGCAGTGAACTGGTACATTTGAATTAAGAATATTTGTTGCACCGAGTGACCCGACTACTAGTTTAGCCCTATAAAAAATGATATAACTAATTAGCCTACTCTTGCATTTAGATTTTTATTCACAAAAACCTTCATAACTTCTCTCCCAAAAGCCCGCAGCAGATAGCAAAGGTAATTTGGGATCTGCGTTCCAAGCTATACAAGGAATTATACATCTCATTTCAAAAGGCCACTTCGACCAACCTTCCCTTCCTTGTTAGTCAAGATTCTTTGACAGTGGTAAATCCATTTGATTTCAAGAGCTTGTTAACGACAAACCCTTCAAAGAGAGGCATTCAAGTTAATTACAGATTACAGATTCTAAATGTCAGGGCAAAGTTAATGGAGCTCTTGCACTCACTACAACAATGCATCTGGGCCCTTTTTATTTGAAACTAAACTTCTGCTATGTTAAAGTATGCTGCCCTGGCAGGACGAAAAACAGAGATTCCGTAATCCTCTGCTTTAGCATTATGTACGAGATTTGATGTACAACACTTGTATGTTGCAAGGAAACTTCTACGCGAAAAACAGAAAAGTCATCGTTAAGCATTATTCGTTTGTGCAGGTGTGCGACATGTCATTTCCGCAGTCCTTCTAAATTAGAAGGTGCGAAAGGCACTTATGAAATTGACCCGCTCGCAAAACAAAACTTAAACTAACAAAACTTGTTTTAACAGAACTAAAGTCTCACAAAAGACTGTAGGGATTTGCAAAACCCTTACTTGCAGAAATTTTTCCCGCTAACTACAGCTACATTTCGCTTACTCCTCAAGAAGAGAATAAGTAGTACATGAAAATGTGCTTCAGCTATGTACAGGGTATTTGAAAGGTTTCTAGCCTCAAGTACTTTAACTCTGGATCCTGACTCGAATTTTGCTATATGTGTTCGCTAAACCTAGGAACCACTGAATCAACAAAGAAAAAAATTTCCTGCTTGAAGATACCCTAAAAAATTTGGAAGTAAACAATTTTTTCAGCTTCCTTGAAGAGTGTGTTATCTGAATTGTTCTACTTTTTTTCAGCGGCGAAAAACGGAGGCAGCTTTCCGTTTTTTACCACAAATAGCTCTGAGTTTTACACTTTCTTCGTATAATAGAAGTTCTTCGGTAGCTTGCATACAAACTTTTTCATGTGCCAAATTACAACAGACAGCTGCGGCACCAGTTCGCACTGGAGTTTCTTCAGTTTAAAAATTTCTGAAAATCTTATACCAACGTATATTTGTAGCACAACTCTCCAGCCTTCGTTGTATTTGTTTTGAAAATTTTGCACGCCTATAAAGGTTTTGAAGGTAATATATAAAAGTTTCGGTGCCGGATTTGTTGACGAGGAAGTCCCAAAACTGGATTTCTTGTATTTCAAGGCACGGTATATCAATAAAAAATAAGCACATATGTAGAACCCCAAAGAAGGGCTTTTGAAAATATACCAAATTTTCTGTAGATTATGTTTCCTTCTTTGCAACAAGCTTTTTTGAGGAAAGAGGTTTGGGAAGCTATGATGTGTTTCAATGTAAAAAAAAAGTCAAAAAAACCGCAAAGAAACCTGATTTTCACTGAAATAATGGTATCTAGCGCTGATGAGCACAATAAAACAAAAAGCGCGTCAATATGCGAATTGCAATTCTAGGCCAGGCACTTTCCAAACACCCTAGTACAATGTACGATGGGGCATCATTAGAATTGAAGTGCAACACTGATTTTATCCTTGCCTTGTTTTATTCACGCATAGTGTTACCAAGAAATGCGCTTTTACGAAGGCTGGCGAGAAAGTTTGTTTAGTACTGATTCGGGCTTTGCCAATAGTCATACACTATTTCAGCACTATTTCTAGTACTGGGTTTGCCCCTTCGTCAGAACAAGTTTGGTATTTGAACAAAAATGATTGATTCTCTCAAGATATCCGACGGGAGTAAAGCTGTGTCGAACATGTTAGCAAGCTGTAATACTATCTGATTGTGAGTCATAAGACCATACCACATACCGTGCATCCCCACCGCTTTGTGCCAGCTCTATTTTTGAGTCTCTATCTGCTCCGTGGTTCCCAGGATTGCCATATGTAACTACTGTTTTGCTCTCGCACAAACTGTACTAACAGAATTTATCAGCGACGCCGAAAGAATTCACAGAATGGCTATAATTGTAAAGCAGTCATAACGTTAAGCGGTAATTTCTAATTTCTCTGTGCTCAAGTAATGCCAATAGAGTAAGAAACAAAATTACTTGCAAATTTTTTCTTGGAATCTTTAGGTATTTGACACAAGCCTCAGCGTTTCAAAGGCGAGAGAATAACCTTTTAACAGCATAAAGTTTGCAATAAATAATGATGCCTATTTATTATGTTGTAACAGAATTAATGCAGGTTTTTGACACCTCTTTTTGAAAAGGCTGGTTCAAAATAGATTTCCATTGTCTTAGAAAGATATGCATATCATCTGAAAGCACTCTTTTTCTAGTTTCTTGCGCTTGCTTTCATTTTAAGAGTAGTGGATTCATGTCGAGATCACGTGCTTTTGAAATCTAGAAGCTGAACTCTGAAGTTTTCCCTTTTTGAATTTTGCTCTAAATTCACCGCGAAAAATTGTAATATATTGCAAACTGGCATAATGTTTGTATGTGACATGTTCTACAAAACGTACATCGCAGCAGATTTTTCAAAAGTTTCCACACTGAGGAATTTCAATTCAAACCTAAACAACCGCTGCTATCACTCTGCGGCGTATAAAAATCCCGAGTGTGAAGCAATCGCAGAGCTTTCGCCATGTGCAGAAACAATAGACTTAGGGCATTTGAAAGTAAAAAAACGGGAAGCTTCTATTCTTTTTGGTGACCAAAAAATTCAAAAAACAGTAAAAAAGGACTTTTTCGCCTTTTCAGAGCACTTAATAAGAATGACTGATCACAATTTTTTTGCAAAATTTTCTAGCAGAAATTTTTTTCGTAAAATTCAAGCTTAACGCTGCTGCACAACTGACTATTGTCTACACATTGAGTGAAGTTTGTATCATCCTACTAAATTGTGTAGTAGGTTATGGTCTCTCAAACCAAAGGCTTTCCAAGAAAGATTTTGGCAGTCTTCGGTCTATAAAATTTTTCTCAGTGAAGCTACAGCGACAGAATAGTGAGTACTAATTTGCCAAAGGTTTACTGATTGCCCTAGTTTTTATTGGAAACGGATTGATTATTTCTGTGAAAAGCTATAGTAGTCCAAACTCAAAATATGGAAAACCTGCATTAATTCTATTACAACCTAATACTTATTCCAAGCGATGATCTCGTTAGCACTCTCTTCACTTTGATAAAACTGTTAAGCATAGATAGTAAAGTAAGCTGTAAAGCGCAACATTTTCTTCTTCCATGATCCTCTCAGAGAGAATGGGAGGAAAGAACGTCTTAATCAAAGCTTTCTATGAGTGAAGCTGTACTCAGACATGATGCGTTAACTCAGTTTAAGTTGCTAGTAATTATAGTCTCAAAACAGCAATGCGCAAATACAATCCTTAATTCCAAAGTATATCGCCGAATAAGTCGACATTTTGTTACTGTGCTAGATGAAAGACGTCGAGATTGATTTTCTCAATCTAACAGAGTCTTATTTCTTTTTTTTTTGAATCAAAAACAGCAAAGAGAGTTTGCTGCTGTCAACATCGGGTCGAAATTTGGCATGGAGTCGCACTTGTTAATAATTGAAGAAAGCCGGTACACCTACTAGAATTTCAAAGATTGGCAACATGTGTGGGCAAGACATTAGGCTTCATGCACTTACATATTTTGCCAAAAAATATTCACAAGTTAATATGAGAGTGGCAACGGTCTCAGTTCTAATTTGCTTGGCTGTTGCCTCCTTGCATCTTTCTTTTACATGCTAGTTTTTCCATGTTTTAGTGATTGTGCTGAGCACGAAATACCGTTCGTTACTGCAAATCAGGCTTCCACGAGTGGGTGTGCGCAGTTGAGTCGTCACAGTTCGTAGGGGTCCCTTACAACTGTTACTCAAGCAAGTAGCCGGGTTGAAGAAATGGAAGGATGGACAGTCCAAAATTGAATCTACCTTGAAAGGTTTATGCCTTCTAAAGAATACCGTCCATATACTCTATCTTATCAATTTCCTCCTCCAGCTTTTCTTCACGTAGTTCCGCTTCTTCTGCAAACGTTTTCAGATATTGCTCAGAGGGTGCGAACATGCAGAGTGCCTTTTCATGGTTCTTAGCGCATCCATATCTCAGTTCCACGTCTTGCTCTACTGCGACACTTAGCTGTAAAAGATTTCTCATCCGCATGTTGGAGAAGTTAACTAAGTGGCTTTGATGAGATTCAGATTGATGCAAGGATATAAAGCCCTAACCAAGAGTGCTCAAAAGGCTCCGAAGAGCCTAAGAACGGGTGAAAAGAAAATGAGAAAATTGGCAGTTTCATGTAATTTTTTTCTGAATCAAGAGGCAAATAAGGGACTTACATATTAGGTTGCCCCGAAAGTTCTGTCGTTTTGATTTTGAAAATTTGTAACTTTTAGCTGTCTCAACGAATTTGCTTCTTACTATCATTAGAAAGAAGACCTCGTTTTTGTAGAGGTATCTTGGTGAGCTTCAAGCTACATTCGTTGCAGAGATAAAAATAGAAAAAGAAGACCACTTGAGCTTTGATCATTTTGAGTCAGGTCGCCAAAAATTTGAAACGCTGCAGAAAAATCTGAAATTGTCAGCATATGAGTTTTATGACCTACTTTTTGCAAGTGAGAAAAATTGTGCTGTTTGGTCCATTTTTTCTCTGCAACTGTATAGTAGAAAGTTGACGAGATACCACTACAAAAAGAATGACTTCTTCTTTCCAATGGGATGAAAACAAGCAAATCCGTTGATATGGCAAAAAGTTACAAATTTTCAAATATGAAACGACAGAACTTTCGGGGCAACCTAATTATTACGAAAGCAAGGATATTCTTACCACGCCTGACATGACACCTTTTGACCAAAGAAGTTCAGCAATTTTTGCATCCGATGTTTCGCCCTTACTGAAAAGACAGTGATTTTCACCTCAAAAAAATTACTGATCAAACATTTTTTGGTGCACTCACAGCTTGTACTCTGCGTAATATAGATGACTGGACCATATCGGCGATGTCATTTCTTCTAAAAGTTTCACTGCTTTCTTGATGTTAGTACAACGGTCGTTGTCATCCTGAAAACAATTTTCTTAAGCAATTGCCATTAAGCCTTTATTGGTCAGGAACCATACTTATATTGTTGCTTTCAGCTAAGTCGCTGGAGCATTGACATCTTATAAGTGCGGCGATTTTTGATGACAAAAAATCATGAAGACTTTTGCTCTTGATGAAAGGTCAACAATTTAAGTTCACTAAAAGCGCAATGTGTCTACAAAGCGCCATCAACTCAGCTGGAGTAGGAGACACTAGTCTTATTTTCATTTTGTTTAAAAAGATGAATTGCAATAATGCTCAACAAACTGACCAGCTTTGCTTTGACAGTACCATCTTCTATTTCTCGTCGTATCACTGTAGCTACCTCGTCAGTGAGGCCTTTAAAATCTTCACACACTTGACCGGGAACATCCTCAGGATTGAATTCAAAGTTTTCCAGCAATGACTCATCACCATAATCGACATCATAAGTATATATGCTAGCTTCGAGTTGATGTTCGTCCTTCCTATCCTGCTCTTGAAAAGGTGAGTTTTCGCTGTCTCCACCACCGCCTTGAGCGGAGTCAACACTTCCGAAAGTCTCTTCCACTGGTGGTTGTTGCAGTCCGTCGCGTCCAGCAGCAAGGGCATTTCCAGCTTTGCTCGCGAGGAGCACCTGTTATGGCAGAATTTGACCACATACAAAACAATGGGATCAAATTTTTATAAAATTTCCTAATCATCCTTGTATTACCTAGTAAAAAGAGATTGGTAGACCTACCACTAATACAACGCATAAGGCTCTCATCATTGATCCAAGATCTGTTCCGAGCTTATTTATAGGGAAATGAAACGGAGGGGATCATGACTTTTGCTCATTTCATGTCTCACTAAACAATGGCGAAACATTTTTCAGCCGCATTCATATCGTGAGGTATTGTTACAGTCCAAATGCACTGAGTAGCGTGAAAGTGGTACAAAGATTTCACAGCTGTTTAATTTCGCTGCGTGGCCTGGAGTGAATCTTTAATCGCACTTATCATTCACGACTCTCCAGGTGCGTTTAACTTTGGCGCACTGCAGTTTTATTACTTTGTACTACAAAACGAAGTGACCTGTTGAAACCAACTTGCTCAATTCATGTTCACATTTGATCTTCTCGCAGGTTGTAAGATTAAGATAACTCCAATCATAGGCGGCCATACAGATTTCTACTGTATGCCATCTGGGACCAAATCCTTTTACGAACCAGTCAACATTATCTTATATATAAAGCTGAATGTCTGTTTGTATGTCTGTCTGTCTGTCTGTCTTTCCGAATAGAAAATTCCATTTCTGAACCGATCCGGACCAAACTTGGCACACATACACTACGGGCCTCGGCGGGTGTCATAGGCTACTTTTCGTCATCGATCGATATCGATTTTATCGATTTTTTGCAAAATTTGAGCTACGGGGCTGGGAGTTGGCACAGGGGGGTAAGTGAGCATGGGGATTACGAATACAACATTAGTTTTCAAAATCGTGCATTACTTTTATCGATTTTATCGATTTTTTTGCAAAGTTTGAGCTACGGGGCTGGGATTTGGCACAGGGGAGTAATCGAGCATGCTCAAGGTCTTTCGTGCTATAATATTTGTCTCAAACGCTAAGATGACACATTTAACGCTAAAGACTAACACATTTACGACCAGAGGTGCGATGGGGGGAGCCGCGCCCACCAAAAGTGAAGGTGGTCCCAGCTACCACTGGCCGGGCAAAAGTGAAGGTGGTAGTGCCGAACACTCACCTCCCAGAAACGTCGACCGGGGGGGGGGGGGCATTAACGTCTATCCTTCCAGGTCGTTGCCGCCAGTGCGCGAAAAATAAGCAAAACAAATGCAAAAGGGATCACTGCAAGCATATTTTTATGTATACAGCGTCATAAATATCTAAAATACACGTGCTTATCAAATAGTGTATTTGGAAGTGAAAGTTTGTTAGACTGTACGGATTTTATTGAGTAAATTTTGTCATAACATACTGCGAAGGAAGTAGGTTGATCTAGGCAGTAACCGCCGAGAACCAGAATTTTAAATATTTAAATAGGGAAAAATCATGCGTGTCAAGGATGGACGCGGTGGCACCTATAGGCAATGATTATTGAATTTGATCTTGACCATGTACTTTGTACCGTGGCGGCTATAAATAAGGCCGCCCGGCCGTTGTTTTAGTTATTGTTATTGTCTGCTATTTCTAGTATTCTAATAAATTTTTCTATTACTCTCTCGTTCCCCACCTGGACATCCGCCCTCGCACTAACGAACCCGGTTAGTGCGTGACATGGGGGCCGAACCGAACCAAACCAAACCCGCCGATAAGACCGCGTAAGCGGAAAAGGCGAGTATCCTGCCTATATCAGAGGCAGTGTATATCCCTGGTTTAAAGAGGAGCTCGTTGTGTGAAACATCGAGCCTTCTCAGAGGACCGGAGGAGGGTGTCAGTTACACCGCCGTGATCTACTCCTACAAGGGAGCAGCGGCGCGTGTACCGTGTACTGACAGGTCCTTCTTGGTCAAGGGGTATACTTTGTGGCTTGTATCAGCTACACCGCAAGACCCAGCCTAGAGGGAGGAGGGGTATACGCGTGTGTACCGTGAGCTGATCACCATCGAAATTGAATTTGTGCTGCAGGCGAAGCACAGAACATTGGATTTAAATGAAGCTCTATCTCGTACAGATATCGAGCTTGAATTGTTTTCATCGAAGAAGCCGATGGACACCATGCAGAAAATGCCGGAGTGTCAGAAAAGGGTTCCGCATACAATCCCGTCGATCGAGGGTGAGGTCGCACAGGCAGATATTGCGGAGGTGTTGGCAGCGATGGCCCTTCCAGAGGTTGAGCTCTATGGAGATCCCCAAGGAAGGGACTTCGATGATTTTGTCTGCAGATTCATAATGAAGTATGGTAGACTTGGACTGCACAACGACATGCTAGTACATCTTTTTCTATCTAAACTGGACGGATATCCTAAGGCAGTAGCCGAAACACTATCAGCAAGGATACGGGAGAGTACCTTCGAAGAGATTGTAGAAGCACTGCGAAACAAATTTAGCATAAATGAGTCTGCTAATCAGATGATTGCGTATGTACGACTCAAACATCTGCGGATGACGAAGGACATTACAGCCTTCTGTCTTGAGTTAGAGAGGCTTACGCGGTTAGCGTACCCAGACACCACAGACAAGCAGCTCTCATGGATAAGAGCTGCAGAATTGGTTTTGCAGTTGAGGGACTGGCCTGAATACTTCCAGATGTTCACCACCGTAGAGACAGCGCCGAGGGAATGCGCGTATGAGTTGGTGAAAGCTATGGCGTTGCGCTGCGAGCGGAGCAGAGAGATGGCTGTGGCGGTGCAACAAAGCACGGAACAAGTCGTGCTAAATGCATATGCCGATACATCCGTTAGCGAGAGCCAGACTCTAGTTGTGGAAAAAAATTGTGTTATGCAAGATACTTTGGCAGCATCTTGCAAAAGTATGGCCACGCTGTTACAACTGTAACAAACCAGGACATTATAGTCGCGAGTGTGGAGAAAGGAAAACCTCAGCGTCAGCAAAGAAACTTGGACAGTGCCCAAGTAACTTTACGGCATCTTTGGATCGATGGATTTGCGGCTCGGCAAGGACACGATCAAGGAAAAATCAGCTGTTTGAAAAGCAAATGGTGCTAAATGTACGTTTGCTGGGATTGTCTCGAAGAGCTATGGTAGATACAGGCTCTCGAATCAGCATTATCCCCCTAAGATTGCTAATGACGAGCATGAAAAAGGGATTTGATCTAAATGCTGACGTTGAAGAAATCCCGATCCAGCAGTTACCTTCCGCATACGATGCCTCTGGAAAACGGTTACAGTTCAGGGGAGCGGTGAAGCTCACCTTGCAAGTCGAGAATGGCACCAAGCACAGAGTAGCCTTCTTCGTTAGAGGGGGAGATGGCAGAATTGTGCTCGGAACAAATGCGCTACCGCAACTTGGGCCATCTATCGCTGATGTTAGAAACGCTCATACTGGCACAAAAAGGGCAGTTGTCGGAAAACTCGTCCAAGTCGATGCTCCAAGGAAACGGAGAAAGCGGAAACAACAGCTCGAGATTGCACCGCTTTCGTATACTAGACCAAGAGCTGAGATGTCTTCTAATCGTAAAGGAGTAGGGGAAGAGGTCGTGAACTGTAAAGCAGCCTCGAATACAAAGGGCAGGAGCGGTCGCTTTCAGCACGATGTTAACTTGGCAGGGGCCAAGCTCACCGTGGCGGGGGAGAACACGAGGATCTGCAATCCTGTGCGGTCCCTAGAGCGACAGCTCAAGAGAGCCAAGAGAGGCAGGCTGTCAAAAGCCGCCAGGAATCGACTAAATCGAAATTCACAATGCTCTAGCTTAAGAAATGACGTGAAGACAACCGAGTCTGGTGCTGAATCACGTACTAAGAGCCACAAATATCGCATTAGACCCCTTAATTCTATTTTCAGGTATAGTCGTAGGTGGATGCAAGGACAGCCTCTTGATTTGGTAGATGATTGCCACGATGCGGGTAGCCAAGGTGGAAATCGGCCATCAATGGTGCAGCAGCACTCCTTCTATGGAAGTGGGAGAAGACCTGTCGTCAGTTTCCTGGTCTCCAAGGATCAAGACGCGAAAGTTGTCAATCCTCACTATGCACAAGTCAAGAGTCGGGACGACTCTTACCGACGGAGGGGCATGTCAAGGATGGACGCGGTGGCACCTATAGGCAATGATTATTGAATTTGATCTTGACCATGTACTTTGTACCGTGGCGGCTATAAATAAGGCCGCCCGGCCGTTGTTTTAGTTATTGTTATTGTCTGCTATTTCTAGTATTCTAATAAATTTTTCTATTACTCTCTCGTTCCCCACCTGGACATCCGCCCTCGCACTAACGAACCCGGTTAGTGCGTGACATGCGAAATTTCCACTGTTATAAGTCTGTTGTTTGAAGATGTCAGCAGTTGCGACTTTATAGGTTTTGAAGAGTAAATGGTGCTCTATCAAGTAAAGGAATCGAGTGGATTTGAGAGATAGTCGTTGAAAACCAGAATTCTAAAAATTTACGCCATTTTTGCGTGTTTTGACAGTTGACAGTTAAACTCATCTAAATCTTGAAAGTGAAAGTGTGTGATGTTGCGACTTCATAGGTTTTGTAGAGCAAGGTTTGCCTTATCTGAATATATCTTAGCCGTACCGATTCATTGAAACACCTCCGAGATCCAGAGTCTTGAAAAAGCAGGTAAAAAAGCGCTTTTTGAATTTCAACAGCTCATAACTTCTTGAGAAATGCATGAATCATGTTGCGGCTTCATAGGTTAGATTCCTCTTATCAAGAGCTTTTAGATGATATATAATATGTGGGGGTTTAGAGCCTCCTACGAATTATGCCCGTGGGGGGAGCCTTTTCATACCAAAGTCTCCCCCCTCCAATACTTTAAAATGGGCTAGGGGGAGACTTTTGTATGAAAAGGCTCCCCCGGGGCATAATTCGTGAGAGGCTCTAAACCCCCACATATTATATATCATCTGAAAGCTCTTGATAAGAGGAATCTAACCTATGAAGCCGCAACATGATTCATACAGTTCTTAAGAAGTTATGAGCTGTTGAAATTCAAAAAGCGCTTTTTTACCTGCTTTTTCAAGACTCTGGATCTCGGCACTGTTTCAGTGAATCGGAACGGCTAAGGTATATTCAGATAAGGCAAACCTTACTCTACAAAACCTATGAAGTCGCAACATCACACACTTTCACTTTCAAGATT